CATTTTGTTATGTTACAGCCTTATTCAAAAATGAATTAAATTCATTATTTTCCTTAACATTCTACAAACAATACCCCATAATGACAATGTGAAAGAAGTTCGTTTTGAAATCTTTGCAATTTATTAAAAATAAAAAGCAAAAACCGCTCTCTCAGAATCTCCCGTCCCACTGGGAGTCCCAAGCGACCAACCAGTGAGTCAGCTGGCTGGCTGGACAGCCGGACATCACTTCTGGTCTACTCAGAAACTTTCAGCGTCATTTTTAAAAATCTGAAAGCATTGGTCTTGGTGTTTTGAATACCTTCAAGTACAGAGCAGGAATTTGGGGTCTAATAGACCCCAAATCCCTAAAAATAAAAACCCCTGTCACGTATCTATTGCTGTTCTCACAATAAAAGTGATTACAAAAAAAAATGAAAGTGACAGTGTAAAAAAAAAAAAAGAAAAAAAAGTGCCCTGCCCCCTCATGCTTGCGTGCAAAAGCGAACTCATATGTTGATCCTGCACGCAAACATTGATCGTCCCACACATGAGGTATTGCCGCGATCATCAGATCATGGGCAGTAATGGTAGCACTAGACCATCTCTGTAAATCTAAAGTGGTAACCTATAATGGCTTTTAAAGCGTTGCCTATGAATAGTAAAATTTATATCATTTGTCACCATTGAACGGGAACGCACAATTTTAAAGCATGACATGTTTGCTATATATTTACACGGCGTATCTCCATCTTTTTATATTTTACAAAAAGAATTGGGTTATGTATTTATTTTTATTTTTTGTATGCAAAAAAATTTAAAAAAAAGTTTTTCACAAAAATTGCGTTTGAAAAATTGCTGTGCAAATACCGCATGACATTTAAAAACAAAAAAAAACACAAAAAACTATTTCTTCTCTACAGCCTCTGCTTAAAAAAATATAAATAGTGTTTTGGAGTTCTAAGAAATTTTCTATCAAAGAATACTGATTTTATAATGTAAACAAAAAGTGCCAGAAATGGCTCGGGGCTGAAGTGGCTAATGATTTCTGAGACCAGCAAGAAATTCTGTTTGTTGGTAAGCTTTTTATACATTAACCAATTGTTGGCTTGAGCTGGTTGTGACTTAAAAAAAAAAATGTAGCTTTTAAGTCTTGTGATCATCTCAAGTTACTTAGTGTGCTCCAACAGCTGACTACATAAGACTTAACTCCCTCAGTGAATAGATTGCCTGGTGAGGGCATCAAGCAGAACACTTTAGTTAATAATAGACAGCTGTTTGCATTTATCGAAATAGAAATGTCACATTTATATGTCATCCTTCATAGTTAAAGGAGAACTATGGGCTTGTGAAAAAAAAAACAAACATCCATACTCTCCTCACATCACAGCATCCCACGCTGACTCTAACACTGAGAGGTGAGCAAACACATGACTGCTGAACAATCAGTTTTTTGGGCTGCCCTTAGCAGAGAGTAGTGACTTTCAGTCACTGCTCTCAGCTGTGCCCCTCCAGCACTCGAGTGCTGGGCTTGGGAGGGGGCGGGCATGGCAAGCTCTGGGTCTTAGCTGAAAGGTGGAGCCAACTGTCAGTCAAGCAGTGCAGTGGATCGTGACAGTATTGTCTAGATCCTTCCAAAGCCTTGAATGGCTGAGATTGGGCAATAGCATGCTATAAGCTTACTCTGGCTCACAGGAGAACAAATGTAAATATACTCCTGCGACCTACTTCTTCTTTTTTTAAAACACCAGACAAAGATAACATTCTGCACATACTCTTGTCATCCAACCTCACCTTGCTGTATGGCATCACAACACCATATAGCTATTTTTAAGAGACCAGAACACTGCAGACTCCAAGCCACTTCCCTTCCTTCTGTTTGTTCTGTGTAGTATAGTGAACACCACCAGATTGGTGACGCCTACACTGAGCTCTCTCCTCTGTGGTTATTTTTTATGTATTCGCCTGGAATATCTTTGTCCTTTTTATGTTATTTCCCATATCAGACAGCTGTTCAGTTTTTTTTTTTTTTTTTTTTTTTCTTGTGTCATAGTGGCATATTAGCATGGAATCTGTAGTTTCAGCTTAAAAAACATTCATCCTCACCAGCACTGTTCCCACCATGAGACAAGTGTAGAATTTAAAGTGGACCCTCTCTCAAAAATGATACTTTTCAGCAGGGTGGATTTGATTTAAATAAAACTGATTTAAATCACAATTTAAATCACTAGTCAGTAAGGCTTGATTTAAATCCTAGTTTTCTACATAAAGACTAATTCTTGCTGGTATAACTTTAATATGCAAGTAGATGAAGATTTTTAGAATAACAACTTTTCAGATTAGTTTTTTTATCCCCTATTTAATAGGTTAATCATTCATATTTGGACAACTTTTCTGTTGTACTTAGGAAGGAGAAAAATAATCATTACCTTAATAACAATAAATAATTTAAATAGATTTATTCAAGTGAAACAACAACATTACAGCATATGTTATTTGCTTAAACATCCATGTTTGTTAACTAATTTGGCTAAAACAAAATATATATATATATTTTAAGAAACTTAGACTGTCAGCCCCTTCCTCCTCACACTTAGTTTCACTTTCTTCTTGTGCAGATCTATTCCACTCCAAACAATCAGAAAAATATTGTTTCTATTTACTGAACTTCTTGAAACTTAGCACTGAAGGGGCTGATTCTGTATTCATAGGTTTGTAGAAGTTAGGATTAAGGTCTTTTTCTTAACTCTGTTCATGTTATAACATTTTTGCTGTGAAGAAGAGGCATGTGATCTCCGCTGAGTCAAATTCAGTTTTGAGAACTGCAAAAGTAAACCAAGCATCTGTGATAATATCTTGTAGGCAAAGAAACTGCCCAATAATCTTACAAAAACCTCTGGAAGAGCATGACATTGTGTGAATGGATTCATGGAATTTATTTACCAAAAAAATTAAACATACACAGCCTTATTCTACATAATTAAACTAATCTTTATTTCATGATGGAATAACCTTTGGATGGTAATATATTTTCCTCAAAAAGCATTTTATTTAAAAAAATCAGATTTTTTTTTTTTTTTTTTTTTTTTAAATCATTGATTTTTATCCACCCTGCTTTTCAGTATTCTAAGGGCTCATGTACACTGCAGCTGATAAACTCACGTTTAGGAGCTGTTCAGCGTTTTTTTTCAGCAGCCCCTGAACTCATCCTAATGTTTTCCTATGTGTCCATGTACACATCTTCATTTACAGGTATTTGAGTTTACAGTTGTTTTTTTGAACGCAGAATACTTGCGTTCAGCAGTCGATTTTATCAGTTTCAAATACAAAAAGCTTGTAAACGTGGCAAATCGCGTTTATAAGCGTTTGCATCTGAAACTTTTTTTTTTATTCTTCCAGTTCCCGATGCTGCTCAGAACCTTTTTTTCATCATGAAAAATGCATGCAAAGCGTTTTCAAGGTACTCAGATGGACAAAACATTGAACACAAGATGTTCCTACCAAGCTTGTCACACATTGTAATGACCAATTCACACCTCAGACCTCTCCCACCCTTGGAAACAAAAGATATGTTAATGACCATTCACACCTCAAATTCCTCATGAAGACCCCCTGCCAGGGGACCTTAATGACTCACTCCACCCGACACCTTTCCCAGCCTTGGAAACAAAAGAAATGTTAATGAGCAACTCCTGCCTAAGCTAATCTCAACACATGCTTCTGTCTCTGCTTCTACTCTCTGTATTTCTCTGAAACAGTCTGAAATCGTTAATAATTTACCACTTTTCAGTGCATTCTGGGCATTTGGGAGGTTCTTCTGTGCTTATCTTTAAAAAACGCTTCTAAACGCAAACGTACATAAACAGACTTTTTTTAACCTACATTTTCCAGCAGTCAGTTTCCATCGTTCAGAAGTGTCCTGTGCACATGGGGCCTAATTTTCCTTTTCCACTTTTTAAAAAAAGCCAACATTTTTTTAATTTTTATTTACAGTTTTTTTTTACCTTCTTGCTGCTACACCCACCCCCTGCCTCAAATTCACTAGCCTCATGGGACACTCATGCCACGTATCGCAGAAGGCACTGCTTTGCTTTCATGTACAAGGAGGCATTCTTAGACTTGGCAAATGTGCAGCCAGAGATCTGACACCATGTCCAATTACATATTGCTCTATGAGTGTTGGAAAGTAATGCCTCCTGGAATATGAAATATGATATGGTATCCCAGGAGACATTACTAACCTCCATTCATGGAACAATATGTAAATAGGCATGGTGCCAGATCTCTGCCTGCACATGTGCAAGATCTGGCCCCATGCCATTGGGGGTCAACTGCACGAACCAGGGAGAGAGTCAGCTCCCCGTGGCATAAAGAAGAAAGATGGCGACGCAGGACAGGACCTGTAGCAGGGCAGCTGTGCGATAGAAGAGGTCAACACTGGATCTGCTGGGATTGTTAGTATATTATTACAGCATAAACTGCAGCAGCAAAGAAAAGGGGGAAATAGACTGGAATTTTCATTGGGAGAGTCTGCACCTTACCTCCTTGTTTTCTCTTTTCTGGGGAATAATCAAACAGGGGTGTTGAATCCTTTGGTGGCAGCAGCAGCAATAATGCGCAGCATGAAGTAGCAGTAACTATTTTCACCAGAGGCAAAAGCAATGTTTTAAATACTGCCTTAAAGAAAACCTTTGCTTAGGAAAGATACAGGTGTTGCCATTACTAATCTTCTAATTCTAGAATTCTGGTGGTCATACTGACCAGAGGATCATACTACTTTGACCTAGAATAGGCAGGTAGTGTGTGAAGCTGGAATAGTGATGTATGTGCTTGTTTGGGTCAGTGACTCAACATTATGATGCTAATGATTCATCAGCAAGCGCTTTTAGGAGAGATCAGCAGTACTCATTACAAGCGATACTACCTATAGGAAGGATACACATGCAAACTTCCCATGAAAGTGTTATGTTACCCTGTTATGTTCCTGTCAACCCAATAGCTTTTCTTTTCTTGTGGTGTTCTAGATGGTGAAGAGAAAACATATGGTGGCTGTGAAGGGCCAGACGCTATGTATGTTAAATTGATTTCCTCTGACGGCCATGAATTTATTGTGAAACGTGAACATGCATTAACATCTGGAACAATAAAAGCCATGTTGAGTGGTCCAGGTATGTGTAAATGGTATCTTTTAAACTGTAAAAGAAGTGTGTTCTTTTAAGATTCTAATAGAAATGCTCCAATAAATGTTTGCAAATAAGAAGATAATTACTCCAAGGCCTTGTTCAGAGGGGCGCTGGCGAATGTGCTGGTTGCAGGCTGCCTTTTGATTTGGCATCTACATCTGCCCCGAGCTGCATGCTGGAAGCTTAGGGAAGTGGCTGCATGGACAACACCACAAGTCAAAATTTGGCAGCTGTGCAGGATCTCTTGGATGAAGCTGCCTGCTGGGTATATTTCCAAGGTCTTCACCCACAAGTATTGGAGGGCTTTCTTTCTTATATAGTAGGCCTTGTAATAGTGCAGACTTGGGGAACTCATGTACAAACCACTGCAGTCCCTGAAAGACATAACAAACCATAAGACCATTTAACTGGACAAAGCGACAAAGCATCAAAGCGCAACACGTGTGCGTTTTTGATTGGTTTGCAATGCATTTTAAGCCTGATTAAAAAGTCAAATATAATACATTTTTTTTATATATATGAATTGTCAGATTCAGCAGTCCAAGAATATTTATTTCGGTGCACCACTATCAGATGCTATAGATTCCGTTGGATGGGTATTATATCTTTCTTTATAGATATAATACCCCCCATTAAAATATCAGGTTTCTGTGAAGAGTAACTTCATCTTTCAGCATGACATGGCCCAGCCAGAGTTCAGACCTGAATCCGATCGAAAATCTGTGGGGTGATCTGAAGAGGGCTGTGCACAGGAATTCCCTCGCAATCTGACCGATTTGGAGTGTTTTTGCAAGGAAGAGTAGGCAAATATTGCCAAGTCAAGATGTGCCATGCTGATAGACTCATATCCAGAAAGAGACTGAGTGCTGGAATAAAATCAAAAGGTGCTTCAACAAAGTATTCGTTTAAGGGTGTGCACACTTTATTTATTTCAGGTACTTATGTAGCGCCATCAATTTACACAGCGCCTTACATATATATTGTACATTCACATCGGTCCCTAACCCTCAGGGGGTGTAGAATCTAAGGTCCCTAACCCTCAAGGGGTGTAGAATCTAAGGTCCCTAACCCTCAAGGGGCGTACAAGCTAACGTCCCTAACCCTCAAGGGGCGTACAAGCTAACGTCCCTAACCCTCAAGGGGCGTACAATCTAAGGTCCCTAACCCTCAAGGGGCGTACAATCTAAGGTCCCTAACCCTCAAGGGGCGTACAATCTAAGGTCCCTAACCCTCAAGGGTGTACAATCTAAGGTCCCTAACCCTCAAGGGGTGTACAATCTAAGGTCCCTAACCCTCAAGGGGTGTACAATCTAAGGTCCCTAACCCTCAAGGGGTGTACAATCTAAGGTCCCTAACCCTCAAAGGGCGTACAATCTAAGGTCCCTAACCCTCAAGGGGCGTACAATCTAAGGTCCCTAACCCTCAAGGGGCGTACAATCTAAGGTCCCTAACCCTCAAGGGGCGTACAATCTAACTTATGCAACCATATTATTTTAGTTTTTTTATTTGTACTTCCCTCCACCTGCAAGATTTCAGTTTGTTGTTCAACTGAGTTGTTTATAGGTTACATTAAAGGTGGAAAAAGTTCTGAAATTATCCATCACAATTTTTTACATCACAGAAACCTGACATTTTAACAGGGTGTGTAGATTTTTATATCGTGCGTGCGGGTGTAAAAAAATCCAAAAGAATTGGCAGCAGTCATGGGGCTTGAAATGTGAACAAACAGTTATGAAATTTTATTTTGACATTCCGATGAAACACCAGCTCACCTTCCTCCGTATCATTTTATCTTTTGGAATATATGTACTTCATGCCTTGCTGATCATTCGGGCCTATTTACCCTCTCTATTTGTTCTGTTTACCGTTCTTTTTGAAAGTAAAAGAAAATCACATATTTTGGGTTGTCCCCAGGAAAGTAATAGAGGGGAAATCTTCAAGTAGGAACACTAGTTCTGGTGACCTGGGGGTCCCCATTTAATTCCTTCAATTTGCAGGGATATCCTCTCACTTCCTGTTTGGCTATGGGACAGAAAGTGAAGGGAAATCTCTGCAATGGGACACAGATGGCGAAAAAAAAAATTGCTAGGGGATTTAACCCTCCCTTACTCTATCCAAAGTAGGAAAAACAAAGTTTTGCCTATAGTTTCGTCTTAAATACTGTAAGTATGGGCTCATTATGAAAGCACTGAGTTTTACAACCTGGACATTCTTTGCTGTGGGCACAATTATAGTGAAATTATAATAAAAGTTATGTCAGACTTCTCTCATTAACTGCTTTGGACTCCATATAACTACTGGCTCTTAAACACAGCTATGGTGGGGGTCACATGGCTGCTTCTAGCTGTAACCTCCTGGGGGGTTGTCAGACCACTGCTGTCTGAGTGTAGCGGTTCTTCTCATCAGACTACTGGCGTGGTACAGGCTGTTTTAGGAATGCTGAGTTATAAACCGAGCAGTAAGGCTTTGCATTATTTGCATACACCCTGATAGATTTACATAATTCAATAGGAGGGTTCCAAAAGTTTGAAGAATAAATAAACTCAAGAACAAAAATGTAATATGTTGCAGCTTACCAGTCTTTGGATTTGAAGGCTGCATTCGTTATAATTTTTCAGGATAAGAAAATTTTTAGCAAGAACTGAAAAGATGAGTTGATCTTCCCAGAAATGCATTGTCCTGACTTCTTGAGCTGAACTCTGTTTTGTAAACTACTAATTTGATCACTCTCCATGTAATGGGAGATGAACAAAGGCAGACATGTTTGAAGTCCAGTCTGGGTGACGGCCATAGTAGCCTTTTATGGGTACAGTGGATAAGTGAATGTAGCCACGAAAGGACAAGAAGTGTGTTTATTTACACGATTACTGGGTGGAAAAAAAAAAACCCCTGAAACAGGAGTGTAGCCACTTCATCTATGGACTGGTAAGCTGTAATATATTGCATTTTTATTTTAGGTTTAGATATGCTTTAAGTTCTAAGGCTCCTTTCACACAATCAGTCTGATTGGGTCTGCTTTTTTGTTTTTCAGGCGGCCCCAATAAGACCTGCCATTCTCCTCTATGGAGTGGCGGATGGAAATGGACATTTGTCCATTTACACCCGCCTACCTCCAGTCCGATCCGCTAAAAGCAAACAAAAGGGGATCTGTTTCCCTCCGTCTGTGTGGATCGGAGGGTAGTCAGGTATGAACAGATGGAGCAGACACTAACCCGTCATCCACTTGGACTGTTCATTAGGGAATTAGCAGACAGATCCCCTGCTGAGCAAAGTGGATCCCACCCTATGTGAAAGGAGCCTAACTCTAAAACAGAGAGCTGTAAAGGCTTTTTTAATGTATTGCTTATTTGTAGTTTTGGATATCTTAGATTTTTGCTAATTGACAAGGCTAGATATGTTTTAATTTTTACCTCATCATGGTCTCATCCTTCCTAATAGAAAACTTGGACATTAACTTGCTTTTGAACATTAAAATTATTTCTGTGTAATTTTTTTTTCTAAAGTGAAAAAATAGAATTCAAAATCATTTGCACAAAAATTGTATGATGTGCAAAATCAGGACTGCTATATTTTTATCCAATAGATTCTCTTTAGAAATGGAATAGTTTTTGGGGTTGTCTGTTAACTTTCGGGCTCATATGGGTTTATTTACTATAACTAGAGAATGCAAAACCTGGTGAAGCTGCATAGAAATTGGCTTCCAGGTTTTTATTTTTTTTTTTTTGGTCAAAGCTTAATTGATCAAGCTGAAGTTTTTAGACGCTGGCTACCATGCACAGATGCACCAGATTTTTCACTCTAGTTTTAGCAAATCAACTCCATACTGTGCATTTTACCTTGTATATGAAAAATGGGACATTGACAGTGAAAGGTGTAAATGTACATGTTCTAGGGCATCTGTATCCCCCCTATACACTTGACAAGAAGACAATGACATAGGCATGACAATTTCACATTATGAAATTGAAAAACAAGTGAGTTATGAACATGGTCCGTTCCCATAATTTTTTTTCTGACCGGCTCACATTAGGTCCCACTGTTCCCATTTGTCGAGAGGTTTGTCAGTATAGAAATTAAACTCTAACCTAACTGCTTTCGTTTTTTGTTTTTAAATGCAGGTCAGTTTGCTGAAAATGAAACCAATGAAGTGAATTTCAGAGAGATCCCCTCTCATGTTCTATCCAAAGTCTGCATGTATTTTACTTATAAAGTTCGTTATACGAACAGTTCTACAGAAATCCCAGAATTCCCCATTGCACCAGAGATTGCACTGGAGCTCCTGATGGCTGCAAACTTCCTAGACTGTTAAATAAAGTAACTTATGGGAAATTACTATGTTAAATGATTTCTTTTGTATTTAAAAACTTCAGCTTTAGTTAGTATTTTCTTTCCATGTAGCATGTTTGCATCCTTCTCTGAGTGATGTACAGTATGTAACAGTATCTCCATTCTACTTTAGCAAAGCAAGTGCACTGAAACGCTTTGCTTCGTGTCTTACATATTCTTTTCCCACACTGTAATATTAATAAACCAGTATGACAATTTGATGTTACCGTTATGGTTCAGATCTTACTTTATGGCATGATCCATCATATTTTTGACAGAGTTAGTTGAGGGGAAAATAGTATAATTACTTCTGAAAATTTTGCATTTCTTTAAATTTCCTTTCTGTTCCTCTTTTGTGGCTGCAGTATTTCAAGAGCACTGGTTTCTGGATATAATGTGATTTATGGAGAGCAAAAATTCTGAATCTTGTTTTCTGTCAGAAGATTGAACTTCAAGGCAAATGGAATTGTTAGATTGCCTGACACGTCTTGAATTTTGTGTTAAACACGTCTTCTGTACTGGGTGTTGTCTTGGAAATTTTATATATAGGCAATTCCTATCCTAATATTGATCAGTGGTTCCAAAGGTATTTATTACAAGTACTTGCATACATTGAAAAAAACATACTAAAACATGTTGCGCTCCCAATCTCCAACAAACTATAAATTGATAACTTTAAATTAAATATCCATAAAAGACCAGAAATAATATAACACAAATAAATAAATGAATTTCAAATTAATAAATGTGATATGAATCGAACAAAAATAGTCCCATTATTCAAATAATAGTCCGTAATAATTTGATGACGTGATCCAAACACACCAATTGTGACTTTTCGTGAATCCTTATATCATTAAAGATGTGCGCTCACCTCTTTGCAGGCCTAACAGATAGGCTTAATACACTTTTTGTTCACCTAAATGGAACCTGCTAGAATTTGCTGCAGCATGGAATGGATGTTGGAATACCTCCTATGTACTCCACAATGCTTGTCTCCTTAAACACTCACTATCCCTGCAGGGATCTCTCCCTCCTTCAGCTGCTCAGGATCCCCTGCTCACTCCTCTTAGATGTTCCTCATGTCATGAAGCAAAAAAGAAATGTGGACATAGTGCTTTATCCGTATAAAACGTTCCTTTATTTAAATGCTCAATATATGCACTCACATTGAATATAATTAAAAAGCGCTTTTGTATAAAAATATTTTGCCTGTGTGTGCCGCACAGTGTGTACACTCGCCGTTTGCTCTCTGGTGCCGAGTGACGTCGTAGCCCCACCCCTACGCGTTACGCCTTAGGTCACGTGGCTTTATCAGGGGGTTGTAATTTCAACCCCCCTGATAAAGCCACATGACCTATGGCGTAACGCGTAGGGGAACATCTAAGAGGAGTGAGCAGGGGATCCTGAGCAGCTGAAGGAGGGAGAGATCCCTGCAGGGATAAAGAGTGTGCAAGGAGAGAAGCATTGTGGAGTACATAGGAGGTATCCAACATCCATTCCATGCTGCAGCAAATTCTAGCAGGTTCCATTTAGGTGAACAAAAAGTGTATTAAGCCTATCTGTTAGGCTTGCAAGGAGGTGAGCGCACATCTTTAATGATATAAGGATTTACGAAAAGTCACAATTGGTGTGTTTGGATCACGTCATCACAAATTATTTTGGACTATTATTTGAATAATTTTTTGTTCGATTCATATCACATTTATTAATTTGAAAATTTATTTATTTGTGTTATATTATTTCTTGTCTTTTACGGATATTTAATTTGAAGTTATCAATTTATAGTTTGTTGGAGATTGGGAGCGCAACATTTTTTTATATGGTTTTTTTATTTACACAGTTTGAACATGTGATAAATGTTAGCGATCCAGAGGAATATTTTAGTGGCTCGCAAGTTACACACACATATTTATTATACTTACATACATTGATTGTACATTCACATCAGTCCCTGCCCTCAAGGAGCTTACAGTCTAAGGTCCCTGAATCACATTCATACATATACATACTAGGACTAATTTAGACAGGAGCTAATTAACCTGCCAGCATGTCTTTGGGGTGTGGAAGAAAAGGAAGTACCCGGAGGAAACCGACGCAGGCACAGGGAGAACATGCAAACTCTGTTCAGGTAGTGCTGTGGTTGGGATTGAAACTGATGACCCCAGTGCTGCTAACTGGAAGTGCTACAACTACTGAGTCACTGTACTGCCCCACAATAACTACTGCAGAAGGGTACAGACACACAAAGATACACTAGCATCTTTCCAAATAACTGTTCTGTTTATTTGGCGTTGAGTTTTTTTTTTATTTTCAATGAACCTCCTTCCATAGATATCACATTAATATTACAATTGTAAGCAGGACATAGGTGGTTAAGTATCTTAGCAAGGTCTAAGGAATGTAAATATGTGGCAGAAGAGTTCGTATGAGACCAAGGATGTTGGCTGCAGTAGACAAAGCATACAAAATGAAATACATGTATATACAGAGGTTAACGTTTCTTTCACAATGTCCATCGTGTCGGTGAAAAAGAAAAGTGCATTTTGTGGCCAAAACACTTAATGTAACCTTGGAACACATAGGTGAAACTTAATCTGCTTATATTCTGTTTTCCAAGGTTCCTCCATCAACATGCTAATAATTTTTTTTCTGTATTAAACCTTTTTATTTTCATTTCATACCTTTTTTTAGAACCAGTGACATTTTCACTGAGTCTTTGTGTTTCTCTAGGCAAAGTTGGCAGATCATGGTTGATGGGAGGAGTCAGCAATGTGTTGTCCATAGCTACCTGAAAGCAGTGTAGCACCCTGTCTCAGTACCCCTCTCAAGAGCACTCAGCCACTGATGCAAGAAATGGTCTGACTCTTGAGAGGAATTATACAAAAATCAAACTGCATTCCATTGATATTCAAATGAAAGGAGCAGGCCAGAAACTATAAGGTTGGGGAGGAAAGGCTAGACAATTTCCCACTTCCGGTCCGATCGCCTAGGCGAAATGGAAGGTGTCCTCCCTCCCTCCCTCCCTGTAGTCTTTTGGGACACGTGACAGATCCCAGAAGACTACAGGACCATTCGGGAAGCTCAGCGCTACTCGCGCATGCACAGTGGGTACCCAGCTGTGAAGCCGCAAGCTATCACAGCCGGGTGCCCACACTGAAGATACTGGCCTCCTGGAATACAGGACGGCCAGTGAAACGAGCTGTGGGGGGGACACACCATGGGACCGAGGGACAGGTAAGTGGCTGTTTTTTTTTTTAAAAGCAGCTACAGTTTTTGTAGCTGCTGACTTTTATTTTTTGAGAGGTCGAGTGGAACTCCGCTTTAACTTTTCCATTCTTCCTGGGTTCTTCTGAATGCTGGACCCCCTGCTCCAGCCAATATGTTAACTCTATGGAGCTGTTCCCCATATGGACCTTCACTTTTTATCAGGAAAAACCCGTCATTCTGACATGAAAAGCCCTTCATGGTAAATTATATCTCTCAGTGCCCTGCCTCTCCAGGCTATGTAGTCCTTTAGCAGCTCTGATTGTTGCCTACGTGGATAAGAACCTGGATCCTTAGTGTCACTCAGTTATATCTACTACATCTCGGAGCATTAGGTGCTGTGTTCAGCCTAGTGACACTTTCATTATTTTTGCAGTTTCGTCCCTTGAGGATAGAGTATTAGGGTGTAAAGTCCTTGGGCCTTTGTAGACATTCTGATCTTTCTAACTTAGACCTGTTTGATCCTGGGTTCTTTTCTGAGAACTGTGTTTTCTAATGGTTGTCCTCTCTGGTCCCTTCATAGATATAATTTATGGTTTCACCTGTTCGGTTAACCACTGTCTTGCTAGTTCAGGTTTGGTGCCTGCTCTATGTGGAGTCATTCCTGCTGCTAGAGCTTGGGTATCAGATTGATTCTCTGGTGATGTTGGCAGGTTACCCCATTGGCTTGGGGCTCAGTCTCATCTAGTTCAGATATGGTTGGTGATCGATCAGGCAATCCCCAGTTCTCTTGTAGGGCCTGTAAACATTTGTTTTGGGGTTATCACTCCTCAGTTGGACTGTATTTGGACATCCTGACAGTATCTGAATTTCTGTGTTCCTCAACAGACAAGGTATAAAAAAGGATTTTTGTACTTGTAAAAATTATTTTCTAGTAGTCTGTTGAGGGACACGGGGTCCCACCCTTCTGTTCTGTTCATGCTGGTGTACGTTTTTTGGTTCAGTGGTCATTCCTCCCGTAGATGACGGTATAACCCAACAATAGTATCTAAATTCCTTTGTCGCTCATTAAAAAGTCCTTTGTCCATTAAAGTATTTTGCAGCAAGAAAAAAAAAAAAATCTATTTTACCCTTTAAATGGAATGTATAGTTTGATAGTGTTTTTTTTTTAAATACCCTGTTTTTGTGTGATCATTTGTAATGATATATGAGCATGGAGACACATTTGCTCATTACATATGCTAGCTGTTCTTTTGCTTTACAGTGCTATGCAGTGATGTTGCTTTACTGCTCCATCTCACAATGCAAGCTTTTGAGTTGGCTGACTGACTAAAGACATTGCGTTTGCATATTTGCTGAAATATTTTTTTCATATTTCTTTAATTCAGCCACCGGGACTATCTTGTGGTGACAACGTTATCTTTCTCTGCTCTGCATGTTGTCTCTCTAAATGCGCATTCCTGTGGTGAATTATAAGAAAACATGCTAACAGTTGCTGGCATGTCCAACATCATCTGCTGAGAGCCCAAAATGTCTCTATTTTTGGCCAGCCATTACAGGTCTGATTGACAGCAGATCTCGGGGGATGTTCATTAGATGTCTGATACAGTGTCATGCATGCTGGAGGTTGTGCAATGGGCAATCAGCTGCCACTAATAAAAAAAAACTGATTTAATACTGCATAAATATGCTTTTTAGAAACATAAAGACAAAATACGCTCATACTACTTCATGTGAAAGCTTTAAGCTCCGTTCACACCAATGCATTTTTTTATG